AAGGCCATGTGATGATGAATTAGATAGCTGAGTCACAGGAGGAGAGGAAAAGAGAGAGGTGAGTGTTTTACAATAACCAAAGCTTATTGCAATCAGCGTCAAAATTACAAGCAAGTATCACCTGAGTGGGCACTATTGGCTGAATGGATAACACTTCCCCTTAACCACAAATCCAGTATCAGGTTTCTCTCTCTGGCTCTAATGCACAACAATGAGCAGGAGCTTAGTGGAAGGTGATCTGGGATCTGTGGTTGGGGACCTTGTCAAACCTCAGGCTGCTTTCACATTTAGAACAACAGCAGTGGATGAGGTGCTGCTCAGTTCTCTGCAGGGAGATAAGCTCTGCAACACGGCAGGAGCTGGCAAGCACACTGCTGTTCTCCTCTTTGAGTGACTGCTTCAGTGTGTGCAAGTGTGTGTGTTTGAAGGGGGTATGGGAGGCATTTATGAGGGCAGTTATAAACTGCTGCTACTGAGAGGGTTTGACCACTGCCTGCCTTGTTTGTCTGTACTGAGCAGATAGCGTGTTGCCTCTTTCATATGTGCCTTGATGGTGCTGGATATATAAGTTTGGCAGTTGACAGAAGTTGCTCGTGTGTTTGAGACAAACCACATGTCCTTTTACCAACAAATACACATATGTGGTGTGTGAGTGTGTGCAAATTGTGATGTGAGGATTGGGTGCTGAATGCTGAGTCAGCAGGCTTGGGCCAAGAAAGACAACCCATTAGCCCACTTCTCTCCTCAGCTCCTTCCTTTCTCTGACTCCCCCTTCCTTATTTGCTCCTTCATCCTCTCTGATTACACCATCTCCTCTTTTTCCACCTTCCTGCTCTCACCCCAGTGGCATTATTTTGTCTCAGTTCTTTTTAAACTCTCTTTTTCTCACTACTGTCCCATTGCCTTCTCCATACTGATGCCCTCTCTCATCCTCTGAGGCCCTGCACTGCTAAAGAAGGAAGTGGCACATGTATGCTTTTGACTGACAAAATATAAGCACACAAACATATGATGTATCAGAAACCTCACACACACATGCATATAAATGCAATTTACAACTCATAAACCACCAGATGAACACCCATTTAAATCATGCAGGCAAACAGACAAAAATCCGCACACACTCTTATAGGCATGTTTGTGCAGAGAGAAGTTAAAAAGAAAATGAGGAACGAGTACAGCTACTTTCACAGTTTCCTATGTTTTGACATAACATTTTTAGAAGATTACTAGGTACCATTTACAACAGCAAAGAATTTCAAAATTTCTCAATCCAATTTCCTGAGATGAATGGTAAGCTTTTCAACACTTAGCTTAAAAGGACACATTTACCTTTGTTTAAATGTTAAAAGCGCCAATGGATAAGTCAGGACATTATGATGCACCACAGTGTATTTATGTAACAGCAGAGCTCAAGTGGCTTATCAACAAGTTGTGTTTATTTTAACCTGAATAGGTTCTGCTGTAATACATTCAATCACACATCAAAATGAATGTGAAATGAAATGAAAACCATTCCCTCAACCACACAGGGCTGTGCATAGGGGTTATCCCCACCCCCAACACTCGCATTACTTCATTCTACAGCATGCTCACTGACATGTGAAATGATGCTGCCATGTGGAATCTGGTTTCCCTTCTTTGGGTAACATAAATAGATAAAGGTTGAAAAACATATAGAGCCCAATTCGGACCAAAAGAAGATCCGTCCAACCCCCAGGTTTGCAATGTTGACCTCATTTCTTAGATCTTGGACAGCCTTTTTCATGGACCAAGTTAAATCACCACAAAGGCAAGTGTCCATATATATCTTCATCATATGTCCCAAAGTGTGCTTGAGAGCTTTAGATGTGATTGGATTTGTCACCTGTATTTTTTCTAAAGATAAAGCTCCCAAAATGAAGAAGAATGTATATCTCTTGCAGAAGGTCCAGCAAAGAGGCTCTACCAAGAGTCACATGTCTCAAACCACAGTTCAGCTACTGTCACTGTGGTGAAACTGACATAACACACAAAGTCTAAAAAGGCAGGTATCACTTGGGCTTCTTCCACAACTGGGATCTGTACAGTGGAAAATGCAGACCAGAGTAAGAGATTTTAAGTGGGTCAACTTTCATTCTTCAAACGTGACTGCGAGTCCTGTAAGTAACAAAACAGGAAACTAATTATTTTTATCCATCAGCTCTCGTGGCAGACAGATTCTTAATTGCCCCAGCAACTTCTGCTAGTAGAGCTTGGTTTTAGACAAGAAACAACTTTGTAAAAGAGCCAAAGTTTACCATGATCTGACAAATATCCATCTCTTTAACTGACAGACCTATTGATGTATAAATAATTTCTTTGTTACACCATTCTTTCAAGTCCTTAAATGGTGTTTTTATAGCATGTCAGAGGAACAAACATTCGTTTCTCACATTTCAGATCACACCAGTCTACACAAAATCACAAAAGGATAGGATTACACAGTACTTTGTCCACTGGTATCTACACAAACATTTAACATTAAAGGGTCTCATCAGCCCTGAATCTATTTAAGTATGTGTGCTTTTGATTGTGTTTGCTGTTATTTATTGTCCTCTAATTGCCAATTTACTGCAAATCTGAGCCCAAAGCAATTGTTTCCCTCAACACTGAAAACCACACACTCAGTCATTACTGACACAATATTAATTGCACTGTAGTTTACTTAACATTAGACTTGACAAGTGACAAAGCATCCTATTGTGTCCAGGTCAGTGGTACACGCTGTACTCAAATAAGACTTCAAATACTGTGGTTGTACACTTCTGACAAGCCACCCCAGCTTTTGTGATGTATAACAACAATAGTCATATTGCATTAACTTAGCTTGGCTGACCTTACACTGAACTCATCCCCTTTATCCATAATGTAAGCACTGTAAAGGTGGAATTACACATGCACTAAATAACCACGGGCATGCTGGCTGATTCTTAATTGGCATAGATTTAAAAAACTCAAATCGTCTTTCACAGGCCTTCAACAGGGTCCATTCCATACTGTTCTATAGGCGTCAGTGCATCTCACACACACACACAAATATAACGTAAAGGGGGAAACAGGCCTCATTCTTTGCATTCTCGGGCCACATCTGGCTTCACACATGGGGCCCTGAGCTACAGCAGGCTGCTATAGCATCATCATAGCATGTACCACGTGTAGACACTCCACCCCCACCCACGATGATGGCAGAATAACAAGCCTGAGGCCACATCCTGGCTATGTGTGGAGAAAGGGCCCCTCCCTAAGAGCACCAACTGGGTGGAGGTACTCAGGAGTTGGATGGATGATGGGAATATAGGAGACCTGGGCATAGGGCCAATCTGTCAGAGCATAGCCTGAGCATCTGCCCTTTCAGTGACATATTGTGGTTAGAAACAATATAGTGATGCTGCTTTTAGAGACACTGCAGTTTTGTAAGTGCACTCTTAAGGTCCTTTGTAACTTAAAGAATGTCATTATTTTTCTTTACCCTTGCATTAGCAGCATATTTCAAAGGTTTCAGAGTCTCATTTCTGAAAATAAATGTAGTAAAATGAAAATAATGTAGATGCAATAAATGCATATTTGTAAATCATTGGCCAATATGACATTGATACTGTGGGATGCTATAAAATTGTTTAGCAACAACAATGGTAACTAAGATTTTCCTAACTATTTAAACCAAAGTAACCATCCCTTGACGCAATATCGCTGTGTAAGAAGCTGTTGGAGGAAATGTTGCAAATCAATGCACAAAAGTGATTGATGGCAATAATTTACTTCTATATTATTTTTGCATAAATGTGATGAAACACTTTGATTTCTCAGGTATTTCATTTAGGCCTACTTGGCCAAAATCACATGCTTGTCTAGTTGTATTACAGTTTATCTATAAATTTTTCCACAAAAAAATATTGTTTTACAATATACTGATGTTGTGATATCAGATTATATACACCGGATTTATGATGGACATCTGCATCAGTTGCAATTTGACATAACTGCAATTAATGATTTAGCTGCCATGTCTCAAAAAGCACCTGAAAGCACTAACAGAAATCTATAAGCTTCGATATTATTTTGACTGTTAAGAAGGGATAAGATGGAAAAGAATATAGAAAGGCATATTTGGATAATATTCAGTATTTATCATAATAAAAAAAGCATACACAAGAAATAGATGCTGCTTTAATATATAAAATTTATGTGGGGAATTAAGCTAGTTCAATTACATGTACTACAGAATATTGTTCCAAAGTATCCACACCAAAAATGTGAATACTATATAAAAGATTTTTTTACTTTCATTTTTATTTGTTACACCTTATCAGTTCAAATGTTTGCCTAATATAGGTTTAGAACAGGGTGTTGTCCAACATGCACACATTTCTTCCCCTAGGAGTCCCCTGTCATCCTTGTCAGCCCCCTCCACACACACAGACAGACAGAGAGAGAGGGAGAGAACATGTCCATGGTATCTGCCTTGAACCTCATGGCTGCTACCGTACACAGTATATTTGTTAGAGCTGAGTGGGTTACATTTGAACACTTCCTTACCCTACTTGAACCTGCCACCATCTTGAATGACTCACAAGACCCAAATGAGAACCTATCGGAAACTGTGTGTGTGTGTGTGTGTGTGTGTAGCAGCTGTTTGTGCTAGACTCTGGGTCAGGTTAATATTTTCTGACAGTGGTTGTGGTTAGGCTGTCTGACTGCTCCTCCTGACTTTTTCTTTATCTTAAACCTACAGCTGGATCCATTGCTAACCAATGTTATACCCACTCACCAGCTTACACTCACTGCCTCACATTCAGACTGCTGTGCACAGAGCATGTGCCTTCAGTAACAAGTCCTGAGAGATGGGAGGCACAGAGGCCACACGTCTACAGGGGCTCTAATTGGAGAAATTAGCTACTAAACCCATTGATTAAGGATGCAATTAAATTACCCTTGTGGTACTGGGGAATCTGTATGTGTTGTGATTCTGTGTCACCCACCTTAAACAGACTTTCTGTCAGTCCCCGCCTGACCTGCGTCCACAAAAAGGCGCAAAAAAAGAACAGGGCGATTTCCGTCCAGGTAATGTAAGCGTTATCCAGGAGAGTCCGTTTGGAGAGCTCCAGACCGCAAGTGCTACAGTCCCTCCATGCGCGCAGCATGACTGAGGAGGCTCTGGTGATGAGGTCCAAGTACCCCGGCATGGGCTCCACTTCAAGCGACCCGGCGTCTCCGGTTTGACTGCTCATTGTGGTGCGGCGCAGAGACAAGAAAAACGTGGAAACCGGGGGGGGAAATAACTCCAACCGAGGGACAGAGCGAGTCCGGGGAGCAGTTCAGTCCAGGCTGTGTGACTAATCCGTCAACCAGCTTGCTAGCTCACCTAAAAACGATAAAACAAGCTTATCTAACCAGCTTACTCTCTTCAGTAGCCTAATTCTTTGTTTTCCACACTACGACATGGGCCCATTCTTCGCGTTAAGGATAGTTTTATGAATGATAGCAGGGCCCACCAGGTCTAACCAGACACACCGCCTTTGTGGCGAGATTTGATAATCATACAAACCAATTACTAAATTGACAATTAATCTGAGCCATTAGCGCCTGTCTGTTGGAGGTTTCTTCTGACCATCATTCCGCTACGCACACGGGATCGTCAGCGGCAGAAGCGCGTCCTGGTTAGCCGCCTTGCTAAGTTAAATCAAACGCACACAATAGTGAATGGACCAGCATTGGCAGCAGCTCCCCAAGCTAGCTCGCTTCTTGAATAAATTAACACAAAACGTGATGAAGCACACATACATCACCGAATTCAAGTGAAGGTCTGACGGTTTCTGTCGCCCTTAAGCGCCAAGCCCAGTCAGCACATGCGGTTATTGTGCCGCTATGCTGTAACGTACGGTCTCATCTCTGTCCGTTATTCGCCTTATATAACGTCTCTGTGCCGCCTCATGAGTTAGAGCGGCAGATTCTAGACAAGACAAGTTATTCCAGCGGAAAGAAAGAAATTCATGTGAAGAATATTATCCTCTGAAGAAGGTTCTCTCCGTCGCTTCTCCCCCTCCTCCGCCGTTGCCGCTGTTCCTGGCTGGTCAACGTATTTAAGGCTGCGTATTGACAAGCCGCTCTCTGCGTTCAATAGGAATCAACTGGTCCGTTGAAACGGGGACAGCGCACGTTTATGAGAAAGGAAGGGAAAAAAGCCGAGGGGGCGTGACATAATTAAGACCGCTATCTTCTTTTTGAACCCCCTGCTGAAGCATTGAGGATTATAGAGGATGACTTAAAGAGACAGTACCGACGACCACTGAACAGAAGACTACGCACATCATCATACAAATGTGTCAGAGAGCACAAAAAAAAAACAACATTAATGGCTTATTATTCATTATTGGCTTAAATCATGATTTACCTCCTGAGGGGTCCTAAAGCAAAAATCTGCTGTTGACTCCAACTATTACATTGTAGTATCATTATTTCTCCGGGCACCCAGGAGCCAGCCAGTACTCTTAAGCTGAAATGAAATTAGTCATTTGACAGAAAATGAATTGGCAACATTTTTCGATAATTGAATAGTTGTTTAAGTCATTTTTAAGCAAAACATGGTACCAGCTTTTGAAATGTGAATATTTGTTAGTTTGCTTTAACAGAAAATATCTTTGGGTTTTTGACTGCTAGTCAGACATTAAGGATTAATGATAGGAATGTCTTTCTCTATTTTCTGACATTATATACACTAAGCAATCAATCAGTTAATAAAAAAAATTGTCAGATATATTGACAATTAAAATAATTATCAGTTGCAGCCTTATAGTACTTCTATGATAGACTAATACGACCTTACGCAAGGGTTTCTGAGTGACACACAGAAAGAATGAAAGCAACTTCTTAAAATACAACTACACAATATATACTAATACAATATGACAATATAAACGAAAACAATTAATGTCTTAAAACTTGATTTGCACACAGTTTTTTCAAAAAAAGGCTACAAGACAGAGGATGAAGGAACTGTTATAATTAATAGTGCACAATAGCACCATTTGAAGTGGACTTCAAGGAGTAAACCAGGGACTTCTGGGGCCCCTGGGCAGTTTGCCTTGCCCAGTTGGTAATCTAGTTTTGGGTACCATATTCTCAAATGTGAATATTTGCCAGTTGTCACAGTTTTCTATGACAGGAAACACAGCATCTCTTGGTTTTTGACTGTTGGTCACACAAACAAGAATATGTTCACTTGGACTTGGACTCTGTGGATCTAGGGTCCCTGGGCAGCTGTCCATTTTGCCCAGTTGGGAAATCCAGCCTTGACTTAAAATCGTGATGTCTGCATGTACAGCCGTTCTGTTTGTTCACAAACCCACAATTCGAAGACATGTATTAAACATTTATTATTTTTCAAAGGAATGCTTACATTAAACAGATGTGTTGATTTCCATAAGAGAAATGCAAATTTATAAAGAATGGATATCAAATCAGACATGTTTGATCTATGCCCAAGGGAAACAATGACCTGTAGTCTGGTTTAAATAATACAACCAAAGTTTTAATTAAGCACATTTTTTCTAGTAAAAATATCAAAACAACTATAGTTATGTGTGTGTGAGAGAGACAGAGAGTGTTTTAAGTCCATTGTTGACACATCTGAGCAGAAGCAGGTGTCTTAGGCTGTAGCAGTGGGAGCATACTGCATGGATAGTCTGTCAAACTCATTCTCCTGAAGAAAAACAAAGAACAGAGGAAACAGTTGAACACCAGGAAAAACATCTGACTATAGGAACAGCTGTGCATCGCATGGTTTGTTTGGTAACAGCATAACCCTGTTTCAGCATGTTTATGTACATCTGCACACTTGTATACTTTTGACACAATGTGTAACAAAGGCTAACTATAGTTTAATGCTCTAATTGGCTTTTCTCCAAGGTCACCTCAGCTTGACCATCAAAACAACCAAGCCTGGTAGTAAAATTATAAACAGAGTAAAGGTTATGAAGGCTTGTTAACAACTGTGAGTGGTTTTTGTGAACCCAAATAGCACTGGCCACCGGTCAGAGGTGTCCTCATATATTTTTTGAATTTGTGTTGTTTTTTTAATCAGTAATCACTCTACTCTATCAAAAGTTCAAAAGCAATAATGGCAGTACAGTTGCACAGCAGTCATGAATGGATGGTTAAAAGAGAGCAATTAGGAAAGTCTACCACAATTACAGTGTAACAAAGCACACTGAATAACACATCCTGACATAAGCAAGTTACCTTGGCTAAATAGTCCTTGAGGAATGGGTGAGCTCTGTGTGCATCTTTCAGCTGGGAGAGGTACCGATTGGTTACCTGAGGATAGAAGTAAATAGATCACACAAAAGGTATACAGTGACAACAGTAAACAACACCAAAAAAAAAACTCCTAAACAAGGTTTTAAAGATTTTCAGGGTATTTAAAACTGCAGAACAAAGTAAAGGTAATGAAAGCTTGTCAACAACAAAACCTGTTTTTCAGTGCCTGAAGCACACGTTTCTGCCATTTTGTTTGTTTTTGTGTGTTTGTTTCACATGAGAAATTTTTGCAGTTGTGTTATTGCCTGTGCTCTACTCTCTAGTTTGAAATGAATGAGGCTCGTTTATATAAAAAAAAAAAAAAAAGGGGATGTTTCACTCAAAATCCAAAGGTTGTTTGCATCTGTTGGCCGGCCACTGTCAATAAAATAAGATCAAACCACAACGAAACTCTCCTGTCTCAGCCTCTTGGCTAAGGCCATGATGTACTTCAGATACTGCTGATCTTTGTATAGTTGTGTTAAAATTGTTCAAACTGCTTTTGTGAGATTTCTATAATGATGGGAGTGAGTGGAGACAGAGAACAAACCCTATTGCATTAACAGAGCACAAAAGTAGCTGACTAAGACAATTAACAATATTTGAACTTCCACCATCGTCCGGAAGCCATTTAATACGAGGACTGACAAACTTTAACATTGGTTAGTTTACATTACACCATTTAAAACTCCTTTCAAAGATAACTCTTTTCTAACATACCTGAGGATTAGGCTTGTTTGTAAAAAAAAATGTCTACATAGTTCCAGTTAACCTTGGGTGAGGTGTGCTAATCAGTGGTTATCACAGTTGGAAACTTTTTAATGATGGCTTTGAGTCAATGGTCAGCATTATACTGCATTACTATCAAGTCCATCAAAACTAAGGAAGATAATTGAGTCTTTATCTCATGAACTCTGAGTTCCAGGGTATATAACTCACACACAGCACTAAACCAGCAAATATGCATAGATGACACTTTTTTATGATAGAAAAACAAACACAATCAAGAAATTGCCTGACCGCATTTGCCTGGTTTAATCAATGCTGCATAAAATTTCTGAGAAGTGAATCTTGCACTCATAAGAAGAGTGTTATTGGACAAAGATTTTCCAAGACTTCTTTGAACAAGGGTGAGTTTGTCTATAGGAAACTGCAAAACGGATGGCTGTTAAAGCAAGTGCTCTCCTTAACAACTTTGGGTCTAAAGTCTCACCTCGGGAGCTTTGCCCAGGTGCTGAGTCAGCACTATGAGGTTGATCAACGTCTCAGGGTGGCTGCTGTCCTAAAAGGGGGAAGACAGAAAGACAAAGATGACTAGGAAGTCAGAGAATTATTCTCACAAAGCTAAATAGTCAAGTGGGAACTAGACAGTGAAAGTGAGCAGTACATTCTGTTTAGCAGAAATGATTCATTTCTTCTGTCACAAGTACAGCAGACAACAATGTGGTGCAGGTTGCTCTTGTGCAGTGATCCAGTCTAACACTAATCTGCCATGAAAGTGGAAGTAGCAGAAAATTATGTGTTGCTCTAAAAGTGTATATTTCTGTATGCATGAATCAAACACTAAAACTTATTTTTATTCATTCCATCTGTCACCATAAAATCATTTGTATGGTTTAGCTAGGCAGAACGTGAGCACTGACGTTATTAATGTATAGTCACATTACAGTTCTGTTATGTTCTGTGTGTTTAGTGAGAGATAAAATCAATGGAAAACTAATTCTTTGTAAATATTTAACCAGTTAATACTGCAGTATGACTCCCACTCAAAGCATCATTAACCTGGGGCCTACCTCATGAAGCAGGATTACTAAATTATCAAAGTTATCTAGATAACCGACATGAGGTATTCCAAAACGGGAGCTCAGAAAGTTGACATAAACAGCTGATTTAGTTTTAAGCCCTTTCACAAAGTCATCTCACAATTCACGTTGTCTTGCTAACATTGTTAGTGTTAACAGAAAACATGTTGCAGAAAGCTGCAACATTTACAACCACAGAGCAGAGATTCAACACATTCAACAGTGTTTAGAATGAAAATACATAAAAAAGGAAAAAAAAAAAAACAACCAAAAATTCAATAATTAGTTCTATATTGTGAATTGTGCACACTGGTCAAACCGTAACCATGCCATCTGCTGTTACAATGCAGGCAGTTGATTTATCTTTTTTCATGTCGAAGTGCACTACGGCTGCACAAAGAATTGAAATATAATTGAAATCGCAATATGGCATAGTGCAATGTCCAACTTGCAGGAGCTGCAATTTTTTGTTAAAAGTACAATGTGTCATAACATACCATAAATAAGCCCTGTGTTGCTACAAAGACGCCCCAAGCTACAAATCATAATCTCCATACATAACGGAACATGCTTGTTTGGTACAAGCCCAAGCAAAAATCACATCATCATTCAAAAAATTTTTTCAGTGGAAATGAAATTCAAAAATGACCATTCCAATTGAAACCATGACTCATATTGCAAAATCTGCCAAAAATAATCACAGTATGATTTTTTTTTTTTTTTTTTACAAAAAAATGGCAGTGAGGAATATCATCTTCGTGGTTGAACCACACTTAAATAATATTTCTAACAGCAAAATCTCCCACTATATATATCATGTGACGACAGAAGAACGTCTATCGCTTCATATTATGCTTTATTGTTTATTTCACTGTATCACAAATCACACTCTTCAATATAGAACGGAGTAATTCTGAACAGGAGAAGGACTCGGACAAAGCGAGGTGCTCGTACGAAAAGGAGTTGCTTCCGTCACATGGAGGTGGTTTGGTTATCAAAAGTCTTACATGGACCAG